ACACACACACACACACACTGCTAAGACTGGTTATGGACAGTAAATCCACATGTATCAGTGTGTAAATAAAGCTTCAGCTTTCATCAGAGACCAAACACAGACAGTAAACCGGTGCTCCAGCTTCCCAACGAGACTTAATCATGCTTCTGATTCAGACTCGCTGGCTAACAAACGACATCCCTTTACCAACAGGAAAATGTCATCACCTAAAATAAACCTCGGGCCAGCTGAACACAATAAGTGCCATTCCGGTCGAGCTATTGTAGGCAGCAGAGGTTAAAGTGACACTGCGGCGTGTTGACTTTAAACGGCACACTCACTGTAGCATTTCTCTTGGACGTCCGCGGCTCCAGTTTGCGCCTCTCATGAATTATAATTACAGCCGAGCCTCAGAGTTAAGCATTTGTTTCTCTGAAAGATAAAACCCTGGCGGTCTCCCAGAAACCCCCACAAGGTCGTTCACCCACGCTCACTCCTGTCTTGAAGGTGTTTGCACAATCAGAACTCGATTTGAGATGTGTCACTTAACGGATAAAAGCATTCATCTTACAGGAAAACAGATGAATGAGACTCATGCACAGTTTATCAGTGAGCATTTTCACTCTATTCATCTGTTACTTTCTCTCCTCTCAGATGACGCCTTCATTAACCCTCAGTTGGCCAAAATCTTTGAGCGCGTCCGGCAGAGTGCAGACTTCATGCCCACTAAGCAGATGATGGTACAGTACGGAGGGAGCTGCAGTTAAACGACACAAACTCAGTTCACAGATGAATCAGTTTTCTCTCTTCTCTCTCTCTCTCTCTCCGCAGAAAGCCATCAGCAGTGACCTCGGCCCCAACTGGAGGGACAAGCTGGAGTACTTTGAGGAGAAGCCGTTCGCGGCCGCGTCCATCGGTCAGGTGCATTTAGCGAGACTGAAGGACGGCAGAGAGGTCGCCATGAAGATTCAGGTGAGACGAGAGATAAAGTTTGACAAAGCACAGCAAATATAAAAAGAGAAATCACACAATGAAATGTGTTCTTTCAGTACCCCGGGGTCGCCAAGAGTATCGACAGTGACGTGAACAACATCATGACTGCTCTGAGTTTGAGCAACGTGCTGCCTGAAGGTAACATTGTTGGAGGGTTTTGTTAATCATTTTTATGATAACAGCTGCTATTGTCTGATGTCGGTAACCTCTGCGACTGTCAATAGACTAACCTACAGTAGCGAGCTCTTTAACGTTCGCCCTCCCGTCTACAGGTCTGTTTCCTGAGCACCTTATTGAGGTCATGAGCCGCGAGCTGGCACTGGAGTGTGATTACATAAGAGAGGCGAAATGTGCCAAAAAATTCCAGTGAGTGGTTCACACTTCAGTTATTTTTATTAGTTTATTATCTGCACAGCGTAGATCCCTACTGTATGTCAGTGGCTTCCAGCTTGCTTTTAAGCCTTTAATGTGCAGCAATACTTTCCTGTTACTCCTCATCATAGGATGCATGCTATAAAGTTGTGAACAGTTATTATAGTTTTATATTTGTCATTAGTTTTTATTTTTATTTCACTTTTAATTTTAGTTTCTCTATTTAGTTTGGTTTCCACAGTGTTTCAGTTTACTTTTTATTGTTTAAAAATGTTCAGTTTTAGTTGTTTTTTTTGTTATAATATGAAATTTGTCGCCAGCTGCCACACAGCTGTTTTTTTACTCGCAAAGCTTTTATGCACCGTGCGACCATCGTCACCGACACAGCCACACTCAACACGCCACTGCAAGAGCAACAAAAGCCCCACGAACAAAAACCCATTAAGAGTTAATTAATGAATGTAACCTGCACAAAAGATGTAAAGACAACACAAATAAGTGCTCCACAGAATGCAGACGGTTCATTCAGGAACACCTTTAATGTAGGCATTTTTTTATTTCTTAATGCAAACTGTCAAACATGTTCACTGGATTTATTTAAATACATTTAAAGTACTTTATTTAGTGTGCAATGTATTATCTAAAAACAAAAAGTAAGTATCGGATCAGGACTCGGATACTACATATTATATAATTGGGGGCTAAATACCATTGATCGGGACATCCCTACTGTTTATTGATGAAAATACAGGCAAGGTGCAATTGTTCTGTATTTACCATTTTAATAAGAGGGGAATTAAAAGAAACTGTAGTACTCAAAAACATCACGAATTCTCCCCTCCTTTAAAATAAAAAAACAACCAACAACCAAATCTTAAGAATATATTTAGAAAATGGTTGGAAATGTGTAAAAATGTAATATATCATTTGTTCCAGATGGAAGAAAAATAACAGTTAAGGATGTAGAATATGTTTGTCTGTTATTTCTGAGGTCGTTTTAATAACTTTTTCCACATCCCTACTTTGTGATTGCATTCATATAGACGTCTGAATGACTTGTAAGTATGTTCCTTTGAGAACAAAGTTTATACGTGAGCTGTGAAGTCAATGACAGCTATGTTCTCCGGTTGGCACCAGGCTCACCGGGGGTTCAGGTGTCTGTTAACTTTGCCGTTTTGTGTGGCAGGGAGCTGCTGAAGGATCACCCGTACTTCTATGTGCCTGATGTGATCGACGAGCTGAGCAGCCAGCATGTCCTCACCACAACTCTGGTGCCCGGTTTCCCTCTGGACCAGGCCACTGACCTCTCTCAGGAGCTCAGGAATGAGGTTTGATCTGTGCACCGCTCAACAGTACACTTTACACCTGTGTCGCCCGCTTCAGAGTCTGGTTTTAAAACCCTGGAGTCGTGTCAGCACATCACTGAGATTACTTCTGCTCATTGTGTTTCTCCATCAGTAAATTATTATAAAACTAATGTTATTGTTTGTTCTTTCTTCTGCTAGATTTGTGAGCAAATCTTGATGCTATGCATGAGGGAGGTTTTCGAGTTCAGGTACATGCAGACGGATCCAAACTGGTCCAACTTCTTCTTTGATCCACAAGCTCACAAGGTCGGTTTTTCTCTGTCTCTTCACAAACACGCCGTCGGTACGTTGTTATGTAAACTTCACCGAGGTCTGTTTTTCTGTTCCACGTCTTTCAGGTTGCACTGCTGGATTTCGGAGCTACTCGGGGATTCGATAAGAGCTTCACTGACACCTACATTGAGGTGGGAAGCTGTGGAAATGTCAACTCAAACACTGTCAGTTAGATTATTTCTACAGTTTGTTCCTAATACGTACCAAATTATTCCAGTTTTACAAGAAAAACTATAATAAAGAAGATGTAATTTTATCTTGCATCACAAAACCTTCCATGTATCACAAAAAACAATCTTATTAACATACATTCTTGTTATAATGACATATAGACTTATTTAATTAAAATAAGAAATGTTTATTATACAAAATCCAGTCAATACCTAAAGAGCATTGTAGCCTGCATTGGTTAGAAAAAAGGAGAATGACAAATTAATGTAGTTTGATAAAGTTTTATTTCATGTTTGGGATGAGAAACAGTAAAATAATCAAAGTATAAGGTTGTTATTATAAGGAAATATATAATAATATAAAAACAGGATCATCTGGTAGGTGGTAATAATGATAAAATGTCTCAAAATAACTTTCTATTTATAACAAAAAATGAGAAACTTTACACGTTACGACAAGAAACTGAACATGTTTTGGTCGTGGTGGCAGTCAAACATTTCATCAGATTAGAACTGATTGTTTTTACTTTGATTTCTCTCTCCAGATTATTAATGCAGCTGCAAATCAGAACAGAGAAGGAGTCCTGCAGAGGTCCAGAGACATGAAGTTCCTGACAGGATATGAGTCAAAGGTAATAACATCTCCTCTGTAAACCACAAGTGGAAAAACAGTGACATTTAGTTGAAGAATTACTGTTAACATGCAGCTGTGGACTGACTGATGCTTCTCTGCTCTGCTCGTTTTCTGTCCTACGAGCTCTTGAGCTATAAATCTGTGTTTCAGGATGAAAACCAACTAAAGAATTTATGTTTAAAAACACAAAAACACACACACACACACAGCAGAAACTTGAAATCAGGGACTGGCAGCCGTGTGCTTTCGAGGTTTTACTTTCAGAGGAACAGCAGTTGATTTTTGTAATGAGCACACGTTCAGACAGAGAGGAGGAATTAATCAGAGTAATGAGCTGCTGTAATCTGTTTGACTGTGTGGTACACTGGTGGCTAACACACTGAAATAACATTTAATTACAAATGTAGTCTGTGTGTGTGTTTTTTTTTTTTTACAGACTTCTGAACTAAAAGTTAACTTACAAAGTGTTTAATCACTTAGAAACATTGATCAGCGTTTAGTCAAATGTATTCAAGTGGCACTAAATCTTCTGTGAGCTTTATCGGCCTCTGCTGGTAAACAGGAGGAACTGCACAGTGACAGAACTCATATTTTAAATCATAATATCTTTAAAGAAACATCACAGAAGTGTTAAGTGGAGATTAATCAGCCATCACACTCAGTACTGAGGATATAATGCTGCTTTCTCAGTTGTAGTTTAGATTAAGAATGAAGATCTTAATACTATAGTTTCAGGTCTGCAAACAGCTGACTTTCAGTCGGTCCACAATCCAACAGCTGAACACGCAATAATATCAAATCTGGCAACAGAGAAGCAACCAATTGAACATCTACGGAGAATAAAGTTTCCAGTAAAACATTAATAATTCATTAATATTTACTTTAAATTGAGCTTTTAAATTTTAAAACGAGATATAACAATTTGATTTAATTGTATAATATATGTTTGTATACCTGGAATCTTGTAACGAAAATAATTTCCCCCTGGGATTATTAAAGTATTTCTGATTCTGATTAATTAGTGAGCTTTAACTGTGCTGTTACCTTTGGACAAAGCTAGCTAGCAGTTCCCCTCTGTTTTCAGTCTCTATGCTAAGCCAACCGGCTCCTGGCTGTTCATATGAGAGATAAGAGTGATGTCAGTCTTCTCATCTATCTCTCCGCCAGAAAGCTAAAAAGTAAATTTCCTAAAGCGTGTTGACTAACTGCTGTGTCCCCGTAACAAGGCGATGGAGAACGCCCACGTGGACGCAGTGATGATCCTCGGGGAGGCCTTTTCCTCCGAGGAGCCCTTCGACTTTGGAGCTCAGAGCACCACCGAACGCATCCACAGTCTCATCCCTGTGATGCTGAGGGAGCGACTCACGCCGCCTCCTGAGGAGACGTACTCCCTCCACCGCAAGATGGGCGGCTCCTTCCTCATCTGCTCCAAACTCAAAGCTAAGATAGTGTGCAAGAACATGTTCCAGGAGGCCTACAGGAACTACTGGAAAGATGGACGCCCCGGGTCGACAAACTGAGGCTGACGACTGGTTTTGTTGGTATGTTGAACGACTGAACTGAACACATTCTGTCCAGATGTTTGGTCGTTTTTGTGGCTCGCTCATCAAGTAAACTGATGAGTGCATGAAAACATCACAATGATGCCTTTAAAGAACTATTTCATATCTGTGTGCTTCATATTCCAGTTCGACCAGGACTGCCATCAGGTTCATGTGTGAACTGTATTAACGTGTTTGAATGAATTTGTTGTTAATTATGTGTTTGTATGGTTCGAGGAACTGTACTCTGACCAGGATTTGTCAAAATAAATTGAAACCGATGTTGCAAAAAGAAATGATTTGTACGTTTCTGAGAATGCAGATTATTATTGACCTCGACTGAAGGTGAACATTTATTTTGTGTTGGAGGAAAAATCCTCATGTGAAACCTTAAAATGTCAGTAATAATCAGAAAACTTGAGAAACAAGTGATGATATAATACAAGAGTTTTAATGTGTTTCACAAATACTGAATGTGGCATTTATAACTGATTATTACACAGTTAGATCTGTGCAAAGATCGTTCTAATAGTCAATTAAATAGCAGTAAAATATGGATCTGGGCTATGACAGATAAAAAGCTTCATAAATAAAAATGAACTCTTTCAGAGTAGCCAACTTTGGGAGTTCTGGTCTTTTTTTTTTTTTTACCAAATTCATAAAACAGCATGAATGAAGTCTCACAGCTCTGAGAGTTTGAATATATACAGAAGAGTAGCTGTACTCTTTACAGGAATAAAACATGGAGCGGTTGGAAGCTTACACAACACTTGAGATGTAAACAATGCCACAAACTCCCTAAATCTAAAAATGTAGGAGCCAGCCACGATTGAGGAACCTGTTCCCCCCGAGTCGTCTTACAGTCCAGCTGCTGTCGCCCCCCTTTAACGCTCCACTTGGATTGTGATGCTGGAGAAACTGAACTCGGAGCGCAGGAGCTTTGTTGCCTTCATGAGGACGATCTGTGCATCGGCTTCTTCTTCTGAGGACACAAATACAGACACTTTCCTAAGGTTGTGCTTTACAATAATCTTAAAGATCTCGCTGTATTTACTCAACAGACTTCCCTTTTTATATTTTTATAT